CGCACGACAATTCTTGTGAATAACTTCACTTCTAAAATTCCCCAAGTTATATGGTTGATGAGAAGAAATCGTCTTAAGAGGATTTTACAAAAGACCTGACATCCAAAATGCTATAGTGTCTTCAAACTCTTAGAGAGATTCGTCGAATCTTGAAGTGATTTCCCCCATATTGACTATATTTGGCACAACAGAGTTTTCAAATTTTCCCCATGAGGGTAAATGAACTATGAAGGAAGCAACTTGTTCATGCTGAAGGTCTTCAGGCGACATGGCCCTGGCTGTGATCATTTTTAGAAATGATTCACCAATTACTTAACATAGTTTTATACCTTAAAAGATTAAAATCTTCACTGGTGCTTATATGTAAGATTCCTTGACATTAAACAAATGTTTTACAAGAAGGAAAAGTTTATTCTGAGAATGAAAATTCTAATGCAACAATTATGTAAGTCTTGAAGATATTTTTGAAAAAATGTCGTGAAGCTTTTGAATTAGTGCATCATTTATTTTTGTATGAAAGATAACAAAAGCATATGATACCAACACAAATATTTTAGCAAAACTTATGGGAGTCAGGAAACACCATCTCGTTGGAGTATGCTTTTGAAATAAACTTTGTTTCAATTAGGACTTTTGAGGGTTGTAACGTGGCCTCGTTTAGGGTTTTAGAAAAAAGATTTTAAGGATCAAAATATTTGGTGCCCACCCCCTTCATGATGTTCTTCAGTCTTATATTCAGTTAATTTGATACGAGCACTCATCTCTCGAGAGAATTTAACTGATGGTTGAGGAACCATTGATATTCTTTGGACACGACCGTCACTCACTCTTGACTTTTGTCACACGACTCTATTATTTGTTGAGGATTTTCATTTGTAATCCTTTCTTTGCAATTTTGTTTTCCCAATCTTTTTCCTGAACTAATTGTTTTGAATTGATAGTCCAGCGGGATACCCTAATTTTTGCCTAAGTCACCCGTTTTCTAGTTTTTGACTTAGCGGGCTTTTTCTTTTTTCCTTGATTTTTGAAAAAACGTGTGACTTTAGCTTGTATTTACTTGTTGAGAGGATTGTGACTACCTTGTTTCTTGACGGATGAGGGATAACCGTTGTGGTATCGTCATATTGTTGATCACCTAAAGGGAGAGATACCCATTGGGATATCATCTTATTTTGATGCACACTACTGATAGGCGAAGATTGACCATTGCAATTTGACTTTTCTTATCCTTTTGAAGGATATCCATTGTTGTGTCCTTTGATGCGCACTCTTGATGATATTTGAATACTCAATCATATTAATTGAACACTACCCTTCCCCGTGTTAAAAAATGAGGGTTTTTTTTTAACAAAAAAAGAAACTCCTTCTTCAAGTCTCAAAGAGGTTAACGAGGGTTTAACTCCCTTATATCTCCGGTGTTTGGTAATTTGAAACAATGCATGTACATCGTCAACATGGTTTTATCCAAAATCATACAACCAAAAATTTTGCGTCTTAATATCATCATCCTCCCTCCAATCTCTGCCTAGGAAAGATAATGGGTAACAAGTTGGTATCATAATGCAAAAAGCAATTTAAAATTGAAAATAAATACGAGTGAAACAAATGGGTTTCTTCAAGACAAACATATTCATTGTATTAAGATAATCATTCAAATACAAACAAGTTCTTACATGAAAACAAGGCATTAATAAACAACAAAAATTACAAATGAAAAAGCATTAAAAATGCTAATTAAACTGAGAAGACTCTCTTCATTAAACCCCAAGGTATCCTTCAATCTTCAGCAAAGGCTTGACTTGAACCTCAAGACCAATATCCTTAAATGACAAGATACCACTTCTGACCAATTTCTGGACTTCAGCTTTCAATGAATAACAATGTTCAATACTATGCTCAGGGACTCCTTGATGAAAGGCACAAGTCAAATCAGCTTTGTAGTACCACAACATCTTCTCAGGAATCTTCAGTAGAGATTGGGTCTGAACCAACTTCCTTTGCATCAGAACAGGGAACAACTTTGTATAGGTATTTAGAATTGGATCAAACTGAGTTTTTCTCTGATTAGGAACTTGCTGGATGGGAGCTTTGGAAGCTGCATTTACCATAGTGGTGACAGGAAAAACATTTTGATTATGTCGATAATTTTTCTTCCTCTGGTTCTCTTCTTGGAAAATTTATTATCAAACTTCTTCACACCATTAGCTGAGCCACCATCTTCAGATAAACACCCCTTTCGGACATCCTCTTCTAGAAGCACTCTCATATTCACTTTTTCATGGAAATTATTAGGTGTATTGACTATCACCTGCTCATGAAAGAACGATTTCAGAGTTTCCGTGAAGACCTTTGCCACCTCTTCCTTCTTCCCAGAAGGATTAACTTGGGCAGCAACCAAAGTTTCAACCAGAGAAGTTAGATACTCCATACCAGCCTTCAAAGTAGTTACTTCTTTATGGAGTTCAAAAATCTCTTTCTTAATGTTTTCCATCTTCTCTTATCATGAGTGTTGTACTAACGAGATAACTTGACTTCTATCAGAAAAACAAGGCTTAAAAATTACTTTTGAAAGTGAAACAAAAAAATGTAAACTGATGCATGATATGTAAATGCAAAAGAGAGTTTTTATTTGACTTTCAAGGAACTCAAGATATTAAGTTGTAAACATCAAAGTATGAAGATAGACAATGAATTCTAAATTAGATCAAAGCGTTGATTAAGTTATCATCAAGATCAATCATCCATTTTGGTGGATTAGGGTTTTCACCCCATCAACATCCAAGATCCATTGAGTTTGACAAAACTTATGATGTTTAGAAAGAAAGACCCCCAAATTCCTTGAAAATCAAGTGAAAAAGAGTTTCCTGGATGCATGAAGGCATGGTTATGCAACAAACACAAGCAAGGTCACAAACAAAGTTGAAAGCTTCGACGTCACGAGCACAGAGTCAAAGGTAAGAATCACCCACACGGTATGAACTAAGGTTTTCAAATCACCTGTAGATCAAGGTTCTAAACGGTTCCCAGAGTCTACATCTTTCCTTCGGATATTACCAACGTCCCAATTACTCAGTAATTAGTAATATTCGCAGGAAAAACTCGTCTGAGTGCAGCATCGCGTGACGACTACTTCCGAATTACTCCGTCATAGTCTCCACACTACATCTAAAAGGCCAAGATGGATTAGATGTTCTATGGCTCTCAGCTTCTCTGGCTCCCAGGTCGAGAGCAGTAATGTCTTCCTGATTACTCGATAAATAAATACTAAAGTAAAAGGGGCCTCCACTGATTGGGGGATCTCATGCCTCCTTTTTCGGGACTACTCCCTCAAAGTTAACATGAATATACCACCCGTCCTATCTTAAGTGTACTTAGTCCGGGTGTAGGACTTGTCCATTGTAATCAACACCCAAAGAAACCACAAAATAACACATATAAGAAAACAAGAAATAATAACAAAAACAGATATAACAAATTGGGTTTAACCCACTTAAAAATTTGACTCCCCAGCAGAGTCACCAATTCTGTAGCGGTGAAAATCGGAGATTAAGCTATTAATTAACTTGACTCGCAAAAAAGCAAGATTCTCCACCGCGCTTGACTATTTCCAAGGGAAAAGGGAAAAGAGTGAAATAAAACCCTTAAATATGCAATGTAAAGTAATACTTAAAAGTAATGAAAATACAATGCGTTTTTGAAAGAAATCTAAAGTTCAGGGGTTGGTTATACAAAGGGAAAGTACTATCACCCAATGCATCTGCGATACTCCACAAGAACCTTTTGAAATATCTGTTTTTTGGTTATAATTGTTTGTTTGGTTAAAATGGATATGAATGAGACTTTGAAGATACGAAGACCTAGTGTTGAAGTTTTGACTTAAAAGGGGTGTGAGTTTTAAAATTGACTTTTTAGGAAAATTAACTTAAGTTTAGAAAAATAGTAAAACAAAAAAGAATGAGGGGATTCGCACAATCGTATAAGATATGTTCGGTGACGTGAAGTCAACAAATTTAAATATTTCCCTTGGAATTAGACGTAAACATAATAACGATGTAAAGACTGAATAATCAAAAAGAAAATTAAATAGATAACGATTAAATAACTAAGTGATAAATAACCAAAAACAATGATTAAATAACAGACTAAATTGTATTAACATGTATTTTTATATTTTTATGATGGTAAGAAATAATTATATATATATATATATATATATATATATATATATATATATATATATATATATATATATATATATATATATATATATATATATATATATATATATATATATATATATATATATATATATATATATATATATATATATATATATATATATATAAATCTAAACTAAATTTTTTGTATTAGTAAAATAAGACTAAAAATGGTGGAATACAGCTAAAACGCAGGAATAAAGGATTGAACTCAGGTAATTTTACTCACAACTAAACTACCTTGCCACTGGGATAATGCTACTTATCTGTCATATGTACATTTTAACTAACCTAAAAACGGAAAAGGTTGCAACAAAATTGGGCTAAAAGGCCCATGGGTTGACCCGGGTTTGGAGAGATAAAGGAAGGGTTTTTAAAAAAACCTAATTTGAAGAGGGAGGCGCTGCTTGGTTGTTAGCATTGGGAAAGGAGATTATCACAGATTAAATTATCATTATTCTCAATTAAAACAATTAAAAGGGAATTTGAAACAAATAAAGAAGTAATGACTCTCTCTCTCGAATCGCCTTCATTCAATCACTTTTCATAATCTCTCTCTGGTTTCTCACTCTCTCGTCTTTCTCATTCTTATTCTCAAAACTAAAAAAAAACCCTAACTCCGGCGAACCCGCGACGGCCAGCGAAGGCTATATGGCGGCGTCACCTCGAAACAACAAGTGTCCAAACCCCAACCCCCTTGATTTCTCTCGGCGAGTCTAAATCTGAAGGTGAATTTCTCAGATTCTCAAAGATACGGCCGAATCGAGCTTCACAAATCCAAAAATGTTAAACAAAGATGGAGGTTCCGACGATGACAAAGATGACAACGGTAAGCTCTTGCCACTCTTGTTTATCCTTCTTGTTCTTTCTTAATCTCCTTCATGAGTTTTTGCTGTGTTATGAGGTGGCTTTCGTCCTTCTGTTGTTTTGCTTTATGGTGTGTACTGTAGGAATGGCTATTGAGAGGATCGATGGAGAAGAAGGGTTGATGAAGGAAGCGGAAACAGTGTGAGGGAAGTCAGTGAAGGGATGTGGATTGTAGTGGTTTTGTGTTGATTGTGGGACATAGAGTAATTCATTGTGGTGGATATGTGGAATTCGGTGTGAGATGGAGGTTGAGTTGCCGGAAGTGTGAAACAATGTGAGATGAGAGTGAGCTTGTTCGATACTGTGACGTGAGAAATTGGTGTTGGCGGTGTGAAATTTCCACCTAGTGGGATGTTGCGACTGGGGTTACTATAGGAGCATGATGAATCAGGAGGTTTCAGTATGGGTTTGTGAGCGAAGGAAAATCAGCGGCGGCTGTGAGTTTGCGAAAGGGGTAAATACAGATTGAAGAAATGAAGCTTAGAGATAGAGTTAAGATTTTCGGTAAGTTTTCTCTGTGGGTATTTTCTGAGAACTTTGTGGTTGTGTATTCTGAATCTGCTTTGAGTCTCATGTGAACTCTTTTTAAGTCTTTTCTATGACTGTATTTCTCTGTTTTTCCTATCTTTGGGATTTTTCTCTTAATTAATTTTTTTGTTTCTTTCACACTCAGAAGAGAAAACAATAACAACTAAAAGCGCTTAAGAGTAGTGTTCTAGCACTCTTGCGTTTTGACTCCTGCGCTGATTCAGAAATTCAAACAACAACAACAATTATTCAATACGGTTCAGTTTCAAGATTTTTGGCTCAGATTTCGCAAGAATAATACGGTTCAGATTCAACAACGACATCAACAAAACTCACGGTTCCTCAGTCTCATTTCCGCGTTACAATAATAATCTCATAGAACCAACATCAATAATAAAATTATCTCTCTCGCGGTTTACAACATAGAACAATAGCAACAAAATTATAGCATGGTAACGAATCAACAGCAAATAACAACAACATGGCAAACTAACAACAGCATAACAAGGTATACTTGTAAGAAAAGAAGAACTCACATGGTCGGAGCTAGTCTGACGGTTTCGTATCCGACAAGAGATCAAGAAGACCTAAGGTATGCTCCTTTAATTTGAAATTTGATAATGTATTGAACAAACTTTTTTCTTTTTTCCTGTGAAAGCCGTAAGCTGTTGTTATTGTTGAATATGCAGGCTGGATTTTTGATGTTGATTACAGGTTGAATGAAGATTAAGATGCGTGGAAGTGGTTTTGAGTAGAGATAAAATGAAACTGGTGATCTCTGCGTAAAAATGTTTTTAGGAGAATGTTGTGTATTTCTGTGCTGATTATTGTGTGAAATTTCTATATCTCATTCCCCCCTTTTGTTAACTGTAATAAAACTCTCTTATATAGGCCTGTGAATGAGAATTGGGAGGGAAAAGTTATTGAGTTTGAACAGATTTGTGTGTTCTGTTTCACTACTTTCTTTGGTAAATTTCTATCCTTCCCTTTTGATGCAATGTTTAGCATGTTATGCTTGCAGGTTTGGACATGTTTTGTTTTTTTGTGTGCAGGATTTAGAGAAGGTTATTTTGGATCGGTTATGCAGACTTGAGCAGGGCATACCACTTTGCATTGTCACTATTTTTTGCTTTCTTGATGTAAGAATTGTTTATAACCATTTGATGAAAGTTGAAGCTTGGAGTATGATGTACTTTGAAGTTTCGGAGTTATCTGTTGTACTGTATAAATCAAAATCGTCAAAGCCAAATAGGCCCCTTTCACATTTCTATTTTCCTTCTTTTCTACTCTAGACATAAGACATAATAATAATAATAATAATAATAATAATAATAATAATAATAATAATAATAATAATAATAAAAATAATTATAATAATAATAATAATAACAATAATAATAATAACTAAAATAGTTAATAATAAAAGGAAAAGATTAAACTAAAAATTCTAAAAAATAAAAAGAGAAACTAAAATTAATTTTAATTTTAATAATAATCCAACTTAAGAATTGAATTAAAATTAGAATCAAATCAAGATTAATATTGAAAGAAAGAAATAAAAATTATAATAACTAAAAGAATTAAAAGGAAAAGATATTAACTATATATTATTTTTTGTGATCTTTGAATTAAAGTGGAAAATATTAAAACAAAATAATACTAATACATATTTTTTTATAGATTTTTTTATTAAATTAAACTTAAAAGATTATAATTCTGGCTTAAATGATACAAGAACAAAAATCTAAATGAAACTTAAAGAAACTATTTTTTTGATATTTCGAATAAAAATGTAAATAAAATGAAGATGGCATGAATTAAATATTTTTTTAGAATTTTTCATGAAAATAAGAATAAAAGAAAAGAAAAATGAAAAAATGTATGGTCGGACAAAACATAGTCCAAAATTAAGAATTAAATTTGATTAAATTCGTGAAACGACTTTTAACGTTAATAAATTTTTGTGGTTTTTCAATGTATAATTTGCTTTGACTTGTAAAAAAATTGTAGATGATATCCAGAAAAATCATGTGCAAAAACAACTGATTGAATCGTTTATGAATATTTGCTATATAATAATACAGATAGAAGATAGTATTTTAAGTCGAAAATTGAGATATGACAACCATTATATTTCCTCCCTCTTTTCATTTCAATAGGTTGAAAAGTCTAAAAATTCCTTTGCAAAAGTACAGCGTTGACTAGACTTGCAAAATTTGACACGGTGTCGGTAGGTTCAATGCATAGCCATTTGTTGACCTGGTCGTGTTCCTAAACAACATGCAAGTGTGCAAATGCAACAATCCAAAGCTACCACCAAACACAACTACTACTGCATTTAAAATAAAATACTAATAACATGGATGGTTGGTTGCGCAGAGATTTTAAATTCTCAAAAGTTTCAAATTGAACCCCTTAGACTAAACCCACTTTTGAATGATTTTGATTAAAGCATGCGCTGTTTATACATTGTCATCATCGTCAATAAGGATTATGACGCTTCCTTGTCGACTGAAAAAATATATAATACTATTTTAGAGAGGACCAGAAGTTGCACCAAGGTTTTGGATTTGAATGTAGGTTGCCTCAAACATTATGATACATCATACTATTATTACCTTCGGTTCTTTCCATAAGAAGCCGTTATCTTTTAGATTTATTAAATTATTAAATAATCCTATTTATATATTAATTCAAACACATTAATAATAAAAAGAACGAATTGTATCGGATGAAACGGATAGAAAAGAATAGTATTTAGCTATAATGTATCAAGCTCTAGCTTAATTGAAAATATATTCATTAAGCTAATAAATACATTGCGAGTAATAAAAGTTTCTATTCATAGATATTGAAATTATTTTTAGTCGTAGCAATTATGATTCAACTAAGTTGAATGGAAATAGGAGGTTGAATTGATAATTATTTGAGATTTAGAAATAAATTGTAAATATTTTAATAATAATAATTAAGGATTACTGATAAATGTCAAAAATATATAAAATATATAAGTATTTATTAATTTATTTTTGCAAGTAATCAATGAAAAAATTTCCAGTTCATCAATAAAACATAAAAAATATTTGTGTGAATTTTTTTTAACTGTGTATTCACTAAGTACAAGTAAAAAGAATATTAAAAAACACAAAAATTAGTCAAAAAGCACATTGCAACAACCAAAGCTCGTAAAGCCTAGAACATAGTTTTGCTAAGCGAGCAAAGGCGATAAAAGATAACTTCAGAGTCAAGTAACTTTAAGACAAAGCTACAAATCTCACTTATTATTGTATTAAACTCGCTAAGTGAGGTATGGAGCTTCATTACTTCAGGGTTAAATTACTTCTTGGACAAGGAAGGATTTGTTTACTAAACGAGCTTGGGCGTTGCGTTAAGTGAGGTATGGTGGCAAATACAATTTGCAGATGAGCTGACATAACTTAATGGAGAAGAAAACACGCGCACTAAGCAAGCTACAAGCTTTGCTTAGTGAGATATCCAAATTTGAACCCTATGAATTAGGGTGACAGTCAGTGCAGAAGGAAAAGTTTGTGTGAATTTGGTAAGGTCTTGGTGGTTTTCTTGGTAAAGTTTTAGAGAGATCCATTTTATACCAAAAACACAACATTAGAGGAAAAAAGAGGAAGATTGGGGGCGGAGGTGTTGTCATTGGAATCGATAATAGATACTTATTAACATCTTTCTTATAGGTCTTAATTGTAAAGTTATATTGAGTAAGTGTAACTAATTTCTCTATTGTTGGAGTTAGATCTAGTCGTCTTAATGCTCATGTATTGGTTTTGATCATAATGTTCTATGTAACTCTTCTTATGCTTTAATATTGATAAATTCTTCGTTTGTAATGCTTGTTTTGGATTAGCTACCTAGAATATGTTTTCATGGCTTGACTCAATATTTCAAAGGTACTTTTCATTACTAGATCAAAGTTTTTCATCTACGAGATATGTTAAACTCTACAGATAGATTTAGGTTTAGTATTTGTATGGATTATCGAAGCTTAAAGCTATTGTATTGGTTAATGGAATGAGAGGTCATTTATTTGGCAATAAGATTGATCTCATATTGTTGACTCAAACATGAAATACAACGTAAAGTGATAGGTGATAATATTTATAATTGATTAGAATTGCATATTACTGATCACGATCATACATGAGGACAAAATGATGAAATCTAATCCCAATAAGTTTTCTCAACTTTTAACACCAATGTTCAATTTACTTTATGTCATTTGAATTTTATATGCAAACAAACTTTGATAAATCTTCCTTAAAATTATATAAACTATTGAATGGTATTTGAAACACAATCAGTCCTTGTGAGAACAATAAAAACATAGTTACTTTTCTGCTTGAAACAAAATGACGTTGTTCTAGGAGATTGTCATTAGTTTTTAAAGGTATTGTGATAGTTTTTTTTATCATTTTTGTGATTTTATTTGTATCTACTTACATTTGTGCATATATTTTTATAGTCATTGTTCTTGCATAGAACAAATATCCGTGCGACCTCCTGCTGCAGATGGGGAAAACCACGGAAGTAGGTTTTTATGATTAGTGGAGATTTGGGAGCTACGTCAGTGAAGCGTGTGTGCCAAGAAAAATGTATTTCTTATTCCTCTGTCGGGAGCCCCTTTTATAGTGTTCTTTCTTTGTATCATCAAGAGCCTAAAATAATTAGTGACTCTTGAGTTCTATAACTATATAACCTCCTCTGTCTCCATGACCGAAGATGATTAAAGTTGTGTAACATTGTAATGAATGTGTCGTCGGTGGTTACGAGTATTGATGAGTCGGGCTGGTAGCCGGCTATGAACCAATGGCGGTGGTCACCATCCTTGCCCAAGTATAAAGAGTATATGACTTTCTCCCCATAGGTATAATGATTGTACAGTCCCTCTAGCCGGGTTGTAGACCGAGCATAATTTCTATCAAGCCGCTTACTAGTCTTATCATTTCATCGCTGATTATACTACCCGACCCGGGCTAATATTTCCGAGATGTACATAAGTCCCCTAAACTTAAATTCTTTTTTCACGAGGATGCAATGTTCGGTCACGAAGAGTCATCATTTTCTCTTTTCTAGAGTAATGATGACATCCACCTAAATTTTCGTTCATTGGGTGACATTTCGCACGCCTAGTGCACTGTTCCTTGGGCTCTATTAAAACCATGCCCTCTTCTTTCCTTTTCTATCGTTGGTATTTCCAGAAGGTGTTATATCTTTCAAGAGAACATTCAATCCCCCTCAAGTGTTCTCCATTTTTTCCAGGTATTTTCTTTTACTCTTTCATTTTCGTTTTGCCTTTTTAGAATATGGTTATCCTGAGAGAGTGTGACGACGAGGGATACACTGTAAAGCCCTCTAATGTCGAAGAGAGGAATGAGTTATGGAATCAATGCATGCGAGAGATGAAGGGTGCTTTAGGTCAGGAGGAGCTTAATGAAGTCATAAGGGAGGTTTACGGTTTTACCCTATCTTCTTTGAGTGATTTTGACCATGGTTCTTCCTCATCAGATTCTGTAGAATTTCTGATGGAAGTTACTGCCCCTTTTGACACAGAGGTCTTGGGTTACAAGACTAGTGTGCTCGACGACCCAAAGATTTCCAAGCTTTGTTCTCTGATAAAGTTCCCCTCAAGTGGGGAGGAAAGCGATGTTATCCTGGAATCATCTGTTTCAGGGGATCGCGTATGTGTACTTTGTCGGAAGAACACTGATGAAGATTTATTTTACTTCTATGTCGGGGTCTTGGAGGATTTAAGGGTCCGTATGATCTTTTCCAAGGCCATGAACGTCGCACCCTCACAAATTCGTCCCAACAGTCGGGGCTTTATAAAGGCCTTTGAAATATTTTGTGAGGCAATGGACATTGTTCCCACAGTCGGTCTGTTCTTCTCTTTTTATGAGGTAAAAAGGGTCGACAAGCTTTCATGGATCCAAGTGAATGGTCTTCCCCACTAAAGTTTTCTCCAGGTGTATACCTCCAACTTTCAAAGGGAGATTTCTGAAGGTGAAATGTGGGCCGAGGTGTCCTCAAGTCTTATACTCTTTGGGTGGGCAACCTCTCTTTCCCTTCTATTGGACCCAGGACCATTCTCCTATATTCGGTTTTACATTTGAGAAGCTAAGTGACTTGGAAGTCCAATCTCTGGCCGTGCTTGATTCCTTCTGAATAATGAAAGTTAAAGACCTGTTGTCCCTAACCGTCGAAAAGATTCCCGATTTCCTTGGTGTTGTACCCCAAAATTTGCCCTCTCATTTCATCAACATTT